ACCATCCCCCAGCACAGCCAAGTGCAGACCATCTCAGACACCTGCACTCAGGCCCATGGTCCTAATCATCCTCTATGCGGACCTGCTGGGTAACGCCACAAAGAACCCAAGAAGGGCTCCCACAGGACATACAGAACATCCCACAGCACCCCTTTCTAGACAAATCTGGTGAATCAAAAGTTTCTGCTTGCCTAAGCCTTTAAGCAAACACAGGTCAATATCTCTGCTATGAAAGGGGGACTTATATGTCCTGATGTAACTTGAGAATATAGCATTTAATTTCCTGTCTAATTGAAGGAAAAATTGAGAGGCCCACATAGAAGACATTAAGAGGCATTTCTAATGCGTAGTACTCATTAGTAAGCTAACATTTACAGAAAATAAGTTTAAAAATTCAACAATGAGGCAAGGATTTCATCCATCTTCTCCTCTAATATTTTCATGTTAGAAGGAACTTCATGATGTATTTCCAGTACAGCATTTTGCTCCCTGAAACAATCAAACACTGTAGATGACTAGATTGCATTATCTAAATATGGACACATATCTTTATCTTTTTGGTAAATCATAATTTCTATGATTTTTTAAAGTATAATATTTTTAATTTTTGAGATTATAATTACATAATTTACCCTTCCCTTTCTCCCCTCCAAACCCCCCTTACAAATTCATCATCTATTTTCTTTAATTGTTGTTATACACACACACACACACACACACACACACACACACACACACACACACACATTTTGTGGTGATGTTTTCTTTGTGCACCTCAACAAAGCTTATCTGAGAGATAAAAAAAAAAAAGCAGAAAGGTCCCTTCTTTCCTTTCTTCTGGGTACCGGCTCCTTGCTGTCGAAATGGGCAAGTTCATGAAATCCAGGAAAGTGGTGCTGTGGTGCTGGTCCTGGCTGGACGCAAAGCCATCATCGTGAAGAACATTGATGATGGTACCTCAGACCGCCCTTACAGCCATGCCCTGGTGGCTGGAATTGACTGCTATCCCCGAAAAGTGACAGCTGCCATGGGCAAGAAGAAAATTGCCAAGAGGTCAAAGATTAAGTCCTTTGTGAAAGTTTATAACTATAATCACCTCATGCCCACAAGGTACTCTGTGGACATCCCCTTGGACAAAACAGTTGTCAACAAGCATGTCTTTAGAGATGTAGCCCTGAAATGCAAGGCCAGGAGGGAGGCCAAAGTCAAGTTTGAGGAAAGATACAAGACAGGGAAGAACAAATTGTTTTTCCAGAAGCTTTGCTTTTAGATATATTTTTGTTCCCATCGTTAAAAAAAAAAAAGGCTTGAAAAAAAAAAGCAGAAAGAAGCCGTCCATGTTCTTACCACTTGGAAATCCTCAGCCAAAAGACCTACTTCCTGTATACCCACACCTATATGCCTTTCTGTTCTGCATCTCACTTCCTCTCTCCATGCAGCTACATCACTTCCTGTCTGTCTGTGCAGACCTCCAGACCTCTATGGTTAGTGCTGGGATTAAAGGCATGTGCCACCATGCCTGGCTCTGTTCCCCAGTGTGGCCTTGAACTCACAGCTATCCAGATGGATCTCTGCCTCCCAAATGCTAGGATAAAAGGCGTGTGCTACTATTGCCTGACTTCTATGTTTAATATAGTGGCTGGCTTTTTCCTCTGATCCTCAGATAAGCTTTATTAGGGTGTACAATATTTTGGGGGACACAATATATCACTACAATATTTAAACACATAAACACAACCTGCTCAGTCTATATAATGTTACTTGTATGTACATTTGGTATTGGATCACCAACTAGAGGCTCTTCCCTAAGGAAGACTCTTTCTCCTGCTGTCAGCATTCCCTAGTTGCTGTAGTTTTTTTTTTTTGTTTAAGGTTGAGGCTTTGGGAACCTTTCCCCTTCTGTCAGTATGGCTTTTGTGGTTGGTTGTCCTTGTTCAGGTTGTGTTAAAGTTGTCATGTTGGTGAGACTTCATGAGTGTTGCTTCCAACAGTTCTAGGAAACAACCTTACAGCATGCTTCCTGTTCCTCTGGCTCTTAAAAACTTTTCACCCCTTCTTCCACAGTGATCTCTGAACTGTAGATGGGGAGCTGTGTTGTAGATGTCCTAGTCATAGCTGAACCCCACAACTCTGCATTTTCATTGGCTGTGGTTTTCTGTAATGGCCTCCATCTGTTGCAAAGAAAAGTTTCCTTGATGAAGGGTGAGACTACTCTTGCCTGTGGGTATAAGGACAAATATTAGAAAACAGGAATATAGTTAGGCATTATGTTGGTTTAGTAAAGTGGTAATTTTAAGTTCTCCTCCAAGACTCATGACTTCACTGGCCCTGGATAGTTGGCTAGATTTCCATTTTTGTTTTGTTTTTGTTTTGTTTTGTGTATAAAATAAAACCCAAATATCACCAAGTACTCTGGCCTCTTGGGGACATATTTTTATTAATTATTCATATAAAAATTACTTAATATTAAAATAAAATTATTTCCCATTTTATATAACCAAATTCAGGTTTTTAAATCCGTTTCTTTTTCATTAATTTCGCTTATTTTAGTTTTTGTCATTCACGCTTCATCCTTTGAAGGTATTCTTAACAGGTCCTGGACCACTGAATGTATCTTTCCACATTAATGTAGCTGATTAAAACATAAGATTATGGGACTGGTAGGACAGCCCAGGAGTAAAGTGCTCTTGTAGAGGACTAGAGTTTAATTCCCAGCACCCACATCAAATGGCTTATTATTGCCTGTAACTCCAGCTCCAGAGGATTCAATTCCCTCTTCTCTGGCCTCTGCAAACACTGGCACACATGTGGAAAACACACATACACAGAGAGAGAGAGAGAGAGAGAGAGAGAGAGAGAGAGAGAGAGAGAGAGGAACATAACCGAAGACAGAGTGAGAAGAATGTAATAGTGGGGACATGTTTTCATAAGGCCTGAAGGGTTCTGCCAGATCCAAGCCCTGGGGAAACTTTATTGGAAGAGGCCACATTTTCCCCACACAGAGTCAGTGCTTCCCTAGGGTGGGAGGACAAGTCAGACACCCTCATTCATCACAAAAGCCAGGATGTCACATAGCTAACTCTTCTGTCATTTTAACTAAAATAATCATTAAATCTTGTTTTTAACTTTAAAATATTATTTACACAATACAGAAAATTCAAACAAAAAGTACAAGGAAGCAAAACTCCAAGTTCTAAGACAACCACTGCTCACATTTGGGTGACTGTGCTGACATCTTTCTGTATTCATGTGCTAACCTGTGTGTAGCGTTACTCGTTTTCACGTGAGTGAGATTATTTCAAAGTTAGGGGTATTTCTTAATTCTTTGCTTTTCCTTTAATTAAAATCTGTCTCATTTGATTCTTTACTTGTGAATTAGCTAACAATGTGTTCTTCCAGAAATATCTCCAAGTTCAGATAGTCACAAAAAGTCACATTAGATATAAATCTTCCCAAGTCAGGATTGTTACTTGCTTTTGGACAACAGGCTCATTTCACACCTATGTCTTTTAATCTTTCTCTTATAAATAATAATTAAATAGAGACTCTTTCAAGTTACTCAGAAACGATCCATTTTATTGTTTTTAACTAATGAATAGTAATGGTAGAAATTCCCAAAGTTTCCTCATTATTGGCACCCTTAGTGGCTCCATAGTTTGTGATCCATTGATTAAAAGAAATATTGGGCTGAAGAGATGGCTTAATTGTTAAGACTTGCAGAGGACTTGAGTTTGATTTCCAGTATCCATACTGGGTGGCTCACAACAACCTGTAACTCCAGCTCCTGGGGCACCCTCCAAGCAGATTCAACAAGGACGCTGGTCTCCACAGAGCATCTGCATTCAGGTGCAGTCCCTAATACACATAGTTAAAAATAAAATAAATCTTTAAAAACTTAATATTATATAAGTCACCATGAAACCTGTTATTTTGTATAATAAACATTATTATCTTACAGAAAAGGAAACACTTAACATTTCCACTTATTAAGTGATTATATACAGAGAGCTTAAAATATTTGTGTCCAAATGATTTAGTACCTAGTTGAATTGACAAAACACGTTCATTAGAAGAAATAAAGAACAAAAGAAAACTTGGTTGATGTTAGCAAGCACCTGTATATTTCCTCAGCAACAGTAGGAGTATTCATTACAAATATGCGTATAACATTAGACAAGGGAGATTGTAGTGGGTAGCTGTTATAGCTATGACCTTGAAGCACTGCCCCTTGTGAGGCATCAGGTAACTGCTATGCCTGCCTATGACCTTGAAGTACATGCCCCTGGGGCGTGGCCACTTGGGATCCTTAAGACTTGGAATGCACATACACTGCTCTCTCTTGGTTCCCTTGTGGTTTGGATGCTGAGACTGACCAGGCAGATCTTGGAAGAAGATCAGTGTGGGACATAGCTTGACTTTTCCAGACCCAATGATAAATACCTGTGCTGTAGTGAGTTACCCCCTAATAAATTCCTTTGCTCATTAAATAGACTCCATGGATTTCTCGCTTTAGGAGATTACATGTTAAGCTATACAGCAATTCTTGATGAATTCGCAGTGACTGAAATGGCATGACGCACTATAGACTGCTGTATCTTAGTAAGTTTAAAACAATAGAGGAAATATAAATGCATCCCATGGCCATGGTGGAATTAAATTAGAAACTTATAAGAGAAAGATTCTTGGAAAATTGTTAAGATACTGGAAGTTAACATTTGCACATATGAATAACTCATGAGTCAAAGGAGGATTCCAAAATATTTTGAGCTGAATTAAGATGAAAACTCAACAATTTGTGCAATGTAACTAAAGAAGTGTGCTGTTGGGGGGAGGTTATAGGCTTAAATGCATATATTAGAAAGCATTTCTAAAACTAGTGATCTAAATTTTAATCTTAAGGTGCCAAAAATATAGGCAAAGCAATCAATTCTATCTTGCCATAAAATTGACAAAAAGCAAAGTAAAGGGAGGAAAAGAAATGGTAGAACAGCAGAAATCATTGCAATAGAAGTTGAACAAATGAAACAGTCAGTGTGCTGGGGATGTCTTTCTGTATGTTGTGAATGTGTTGCTCTGATTGATTGATAAATAAAATGCTGATTGGACAGTAGCCAGGAAGGAAGTATAGTATAGGCTGGGTAAGGAGAGAGGAGAATGCTGGGAAGTGGAAGGCTGAGTCAGGAGATGCTGCCAGTCATTGCTGCCACCATAAGTAAGATGTAAAGTACCGGTAAGCCACAAGCCATGAGGCAACTTATAGATTAATAGAAATGGGTTGATTTAAGATGTAAGATCTAGCTAGCAAGAAGCTTGCCACAGCCATACAGTTTATAAGTAATATAAGTTTCTGTGTGTTTACTTGGGTCTGAGCGGGACTGGAGAAAACTCCAGCTACATCAGTGAGCTTCCCGGCTCTTGATAAAAAGCTAAATGGGTAAATCCTAGTAAGTCTAAGAAAAGGACAAATGACAGTGACCTGTACCAGGAGCTCTCATTCCAGTCATCAGTGCAGATGCTCAAATAATAAGAGAGCTTCAGAAGCTGTCCCTGGTATCACAAACGCACATACTTACAAACATGCCTGCATACATAATATCATGACCAAATTAATTTTAATAAATCAAAAGGTAATTAGGGATACAAACTCTTTGAAAGACACAAGTTACCAAACTCACAATATTAGTAGCTCTGTGTAGATGAAAACAAAAAATTAATATGTACTAAAATTTTCCTGTATGTGGAAGTTGAGATCCAAATGTCTTATCTGGTGAATTCACCAAGCTTAGATTAAAAAAAAATAATGGATTCTTGGACTGCAGATATTTACTTAGTAATGAGATGATAAATATGAAAGAAAGTCAGACTTTTAATTTTCTGGTCATATTTCCAATTTGGGCAACATGAATTTTCTACAATAAAAATGCTTCACCATGCAGCCTTGCTTTTGTTAATTAAATTATATTTATACAATAAATATATAAGATAATATATATTAATAATATATATTTGCATTTTGTTATTTTCAATAGAAAAGCATGAACTAACAAAAGTCTTGGTGCACACCTTTAGTTCCAGCATGTAGGAGGCAGAGGCAGCAGATCTGAGTTTGAGGCCAGCCTGGTGTACAGAGCAAGTTCCAGGACAACCAGGACTGCACAGAGAAACCTTGTCTCGAGAAAAAAAAAGAAATCATGCTACATTATTTTAGGAGGTATGATTCTGGGAATAAGACATGTTTCCTTGTAATTTTTTTTCTTTCTACCAATTTCATTGAGTGTGA